TGGCTTAAAGATCAGATCATTTATCAGATTTCCCCTAAAGGCCTGCTGAAGAGATGCTAACAGCACACATCTTCAAAAGCAAGGTCAGCATTTCAGGTAGCCTAGAGCTGCTGAGCAGTAAGTAGTACACCATCATCTCCCTCTACCTGGAATTGACAATTTCCTGGTGTATTAGGGATGTACTTAGTATTTTAACTCAAATAACATAGTACATAGCCTATTATAAAGGTGTATGTGACAGCTTGAGAGACTACAGATCCGAATTTATTCACATAATACCAGCAGCAGAGTAAACAGTGGATGATTCCACTTACTCCAGTATACTTCACCACAAGCCTAGAGGACACACTTCCAGAGGCAAGGAGTCAAATTTCTTTCTTACTCATTCTCAGATTTGATCCAAGCCAAGTTTATATCCTGGTGGTTGCCCGAGGAAACCGACCAAGGCCCGTGAAGCCCTCTGATGAAAATGGCTTTTCAGTTTGGGTGGGATTCAAAGCTGTCTACTGGAAGTGAAAGGATCGTTTTCTTCCTGCATTCCAGGGACACAACAAGAGTCTCACTGCCAGCTCCTACATGATCAAGATACTTCAAGTCTTACTGCAAATCTTAGAACAGCCTAAAATACTTACTGACATTTCACTGTTTTTACTCCCTCAAGTATCAGGCAGCTTCTTTCTGGAACTTTCGCAACACACGAAACAGGGCACTTGTCACAGGCACATATATTCACACCTGAGCATGAACAAGAAATCCTAAGGCCAGCTGATACCATTTTCAAGTGAAAAGTCTCATTGTCAATACAAAAAAAAGAAACACACTTAGTAGTTCTGAATTCAGCTGGGACCTGCTCAAAGATAGCCCGTATTCTCTCAAGTTTGATGCTGAACAGATTTAGGTTGTCACTAACCTCAGAACTACAGGATCTGATACTGGATTCCTCAGACATTTTGTGGGGAACAGAAAGGTTATACCCAGCACATGGCAAAATACTGACCCACCAAGTGGAAAAGAAACTTTGCAACATAGGAACCTAATCCTGGTACTACTGAAATCAGTGGGAATTTCTCCTCTATCAATTCCAACAGGAAGAGACTCAAGTCCTTGCAATTCCCAAATCTTATACTCCAAATTCAAAATTGCTTCAGGGCAAAACTCAAAGATGAATTTGATCTATTTGCAAATAAAGAATGTCTTTAAAAAATAAGTTGCCTTAATCCATTCTTGCTCTGGCATGAAATACAAGGGACAGGTCTCCCCCCCACCCCACAGGAGCTGCACTTGCCAGCTCATTCTCATACTTCTTACAGAAGCGAAACAACATTAAATCATATTACTGCATGGGAACTCTACATGAAGCAAAATCTCTTACAGCTTGTAATCCACATGCTGTTCTTGTGGCCAAATAGTGGTAACGGAATTCAGAAGGACTGCTTCCAGAAACACAGCTGCGCATTTCCAAAAAACACCCCACATTCATCAACTTATCTCATAAAGCAGTTCACTACATTCTGTCAACTGGCTTTTCTTTCCTATTTTTCTTCCTCAACAAGCTGCCAAATTATCAGCACTACCTCCTTCACAGGAGCTAGCTATGTCTTTGCAAACTATTTGTCCATGATGTGAAATGGGCCAGACTGCATTATTAAAGAGCTCTTAAGAGGAAGAAACTAACTCCAAAGACAGTAAGTTTACCAAAGCAAAATCTTAGTCCCTCTTGCTCTAGAAGAAAACTGGTTTTTTTTCATAGATTTAAACACATTGACAGTAATAAACCTTTCTATGAAGGGACACGGTGATTCTGTCACGTTCTATATAACGGAATATTAACCTAGGAAATAGGCCTGTGTGGGTTATAAATGCATTGCGAAACCATCATTACGTCTGTGTGCATGGGATCTGTGTTTAAATAAACAGCTGCCTGTCACACATAAACTTGGGGCTTAGAAGTCAAAAGTTCTATCTTCACATAGTAAAATGAATGACTCCATGAAGACCTGTCAGAATAACTTTTAACCTGATAAATGTTTGTTTGTTTTAAATTTGTTACTGTACTTGATTTTGCTTTAAAAAGCCCCCTGTAAATGTATGAAGCACACAATCCTTCTGAAATAGCCTGGTCTCACAAGAAGGAAAAAGAAGAGTTATAAACAGCTAGTGTTTAGAGGTGGGACACAAAACAGGGAAGCAGAATCCTATTGTTCACACAGCAACTGGAAACATAGCAATAGGCTTTTGCTCATTCCCTTTAGGGAATTCCATCACCCACCATGTTCTCTGCAGTAATTAAGAGAGCACTGAAGGGAAACAGTGTTGGTTTTCTCTTCTTCCCACACTATCTGCTTTGCTGCAGGTACTGATGTGTGAACATGTTGAGTTCACTGTCAAGCCAACCCGCTTTATTCCTGCAAGGACAGAAAGTCTCCATTAGGTGAATAAAACAGCTCTTCTCAAGCCAACCTGAAAGAAGCATGACTAAAATGAGTAAACAGCAAGGCATGGAGAGGAGTGCCAGAGGTCCATTCCAAAATGCTGCTACCATTCCTTGCCCTTCCTCAGGTCAGGAACATGTGCCTGCTAACAGTCCCTAGGCTTCGAGGTTCAAACTGAGATCTTGGTCACAACTTGCCATTGACATTATTGTGCAGATAAGGAATGTTTGAAAATTCCTCCCAACAGCCTTTGCACGGTGAAGAAAAACATCGGACAACTGTGTACAAAGGCGAGGGTGAGACTTTTTGCATAATTTTATAATAGCCTGAAGGAGTTCGTAGGAGTAGAGGACTGTATGTTTTGATAAATGGAAAGGAACTGTAATTCCAAACAAACCAAAAACAAGAAGGAAAAGATGTTCTGTGAGACAGAAGATTTAAATGACTGTTGACAGTACATGGAAAAGTACATAGTGAAAGAGAACACAACCTGGTAGGGAAGGATGCTGATGTCTGCACATCAAACACTGTGACAGAAGGAGGACTGCACTCAAAGATACACTCTAATCTGAACATCTTGGGGCAATCACATGAAAAACAGTTGTATGCAGATGTCTGTGTATACGGGATAATAAAATCTCACCTGAGCAGTTTTGCTTTGCTCTGCAGTGAATCCAGAACTTCGATTTTTTTATTCATGGCAGAAATTTCCTGCTCAAGATTCTCCCGTGTGACGTCCACTTGCTGACACAAATGAGCAAACGTTCCAGCAAGCTCTCTATGAAACAAGGAGAACAGTTGGATACGATGAAAAGTAAGATCAAGCAGCAAATTGAAGGAATAAATCCTTTTGAGGTATAGTGATGATGATACTGACTCAGATGTTCATCCTTCCACTTCTGCACAATAATACGCTAGAGCATCAGAACTTGATTTGAGAGACAGAAGCACATTAAGAATAATGCTTAACAGCACCCAACTACTACATCAGTGATTCAAAAAAACCGTAATATTCTTTTAACACACATGTATCATGACACATTTTTAAATCTGCAATTCAGTATGCAGACTTATCTTGTTTTAACAAGGAATATCATTAACAAAAACCCCAAACAACAGAATTTGGATAAGGTATTAGCTGAATATACGCAACTCACTGTTGGACTTGGTGGCTGCAATTAGAACCCGTATAACTGACGATGAGCTGCAATTTCTCACCAGCATACTCTACAAATTGCCGTTTGAAAGCTCTCTCTTTTGCTTTTGTGGTCCAGGTGAGGCGCTCATATACATAAAGGAGCCCATAAAGGCCAAAAGAGAGAGCAATCAGCCTCCAACCCACAGCCTTCCAGACCTAAAAAAAGCACAGGGAAAAACAAATTCCACGATCGTCATCTAGGAATGATGCTAATGCCTAACAATGGCACACAGAGCATTGCACTTATATTGTAGGCACATGAAAAGGAGCTGGATAGATAACCCTGACTTGCAAGTGGTTTCATTGGTCAGACAGCTTACTAGTGATGTCCAGTCTACAAAATAAAAACACCTAACTTAAACTACAGGGGTTCTGTATGGGTTAACCTTTCCAGCACATTTAAATTACATCTGCAAACGCAAACAAACTTTGTCTGGTTCACAGAACCCCTGTTTCTGAAGTAAAAGACGTTTTTAAGCAACTATCTCCCCTTTGAGAAATCATCCACCCCTAGACACTGTGACACCAGAATAGCATGTAGGTGTGGAACTGGCACTACAGAAACTTAGATTCTTCCCGCAACAGGAACTAGAGTTACCATGCAACTTGAGTTACCATGCAACTTGAGTTAGATCTCTTAAGCCTCCACAGTTTGGGGAGATTTGAGATTCAAAACATTTGTTATTTTCAAAAGACAGAAAAGCAGGAAGTGCTGATTTTCTCTGAAATAAATTAGGCATAGTGGCTAAAATTAAGTGCTCTCTTCCCTTTCCAGGAAAGAAGATACACACGATCAGGGGCTCTTGGTAGGTTATTTCTGTCCTGATTCTTCTGTAAATGGGAAAAGAAAAATACCGAATTTTCTTTTATTCTCACAAAAGAATGAGAGACTATTTAATGCTTTTATAACATACTTTGAAAGGTTATCTTCACAACAACTCTGGCTCCAAACCTAACTATTATGCAAAATAAGCTCAATATTTTGGAAGATCAAAGGAGAAAGTATTTCACTATCGCTGAATAGCAAATATCTACAGGACTCAGCAGTGCAAACACTTTTCAGGGCAGTGCTCCAACATTATTTATATAAATGCTGCTCAGATTACCAACGCACCACGCCACCAACCACGATGATCCCCATGGAAGTTCGGGAAGTTAACGAGGCCAATCCAGTCACCATCGACACCATGAGCTCTTCCTGGGTCATAGAGCCCTGAGGCAAAGGAGGCAGACTGGGATTTGCTGGTGTTAAAGGGCGTTGAACCTAATTAGAAAAGCAGTGACACCACAAAATAAAAACAAAATACAGAATAAGAGAAGGCAAGCCACTGCCCTTCCCACCAAAAAGACTTCAGCAGACACATCTACGCCTGACCACTCAACAAGGTATCTTACCTGGTCATTATAGCCCATCAAGGCCCGACGACCATTCTTTGGTCCCAAAAACCTGTTCACCAGCATCGTCCATCCAAGGGAGAAATGGAATTCTATGTCCTCTTGGAAGTCAGCACAAAGCTTGTCACAGTTCAGATCATAGCTGAGCATGAAGCACTGACGGGGAATTAACATGTCTATCTGGCCCCGCAAAGAGACTGGGAGAAGGGGTTTTAAACCATCTGCACACACAGAAAATAAAAACATTCAAAAAATGGCTATTGAGTTCACAAGAATTAACCAGACTTGTATTCTGTAATCAGGGTGGTTATGGGTTGTTCCATCCTCCACAGCTGTTTTTCTCAGTACCTTAAATTTCCTAAAGCCAAGCATGTTGCAAAGTGAGAGATACATCATGAATTACTGTTCAACTCTTAGTTCTTCAGATCAATTCAGAAGGAAAACTTTCCATGGACCCTCTCAAATCCTTACAGGCAGCAGGTGAAGTCTACAGTTTAGCAATAGCTTGGAAAACAGAATCTGAAGGCCAGTTCTAAAAGCGTTTAGGCACCATACTCCCATCAACACTTATATGCGGACAGGCACCTAGTTACAAGTCATTCACATTTCATTAGGATCTTGGTCTGAGAACCTCTCAAGTTTCCAAAGTCACAGTTCCGCTCTGACATGAAGGATTAAGCTGATTGTATGTATTCATTAGCAAATCACTGCACAAGATCAGACACAGAGTGGAAAAAGCAGGAGTAACTAATCCTCTACACAACAGCATTGCTAATCAAGATGGAAACTAAGATGATGACAGCTGCACATCAGCCATCAGATTAAAGAGAAACCCAGAATATCTACCTAGTTATTTTGCATTACAGTTAAAGGAAAAAGGAAGGGAAATATTGCCTGCTGAACTTGCTGCATTGTCTGCAGGGAAGCTGTGATTGCATTGGAGCAACGATCTGACATGTTACGGCCCAGGCCTTCCTCGATGTGTTTATGCAGCTCCTGACAAACAAAGAAAGGATTATTAAACTTAAAATAAACATAGGTAAGATGCAGGCTGCAGGTGCTAGAGCTTGCCAGTTAAAATAACCTTCCCAAAACAGGGCCACACATTCTGCCTCCCTACTGTTCCAACCTTAGTTTCATTTTTTTCCCCATTCTTCAGTGAAGGAGAGGAAAAAGCAAATCAAGAAATCCCACATGTACTCTGTGGTATAGGAAAAGTTCTGTTTGATCTATACAATGTGATACATCATATGTGTATCAATTTATGACTGAGATTATTAAACTTTTTTTTTTTTTTTTGGTTTTTAAGATGTTCATTTTTTACAAAAGCTATCCACATGCAAGACACATTCTAACAAAAGATTTTTCACAATATGAAAAGCTTAGCTCATATCCTAGTTGGAAGATTGTTAAGCATTAAGAGCTGGCATAATTACTGACTCAGAACAAAACAAGGCCTCTTTAAATTGCTTAAGCAATCTGTAAGAAGCAAACATCACTTACACTCTTATAAACTTTAAGAACTACTTGAGATGGATGGAAGTCTGCTTGGTATTCATCTACCAACACCGAAAGCCGTCTGATTTCTTCTGCCATTGCATTTGACACCTAGAGAAACAGCACAGAACAGAGTTTCTATACATTCTGTCCTAGGGAGAGATGGAAAACTGCCACTGAAGACATGCATCTCCTAGTAAGCACTACTGAACTCTAGGCACCATGCGGCCATTGTGTGCTAACTGCAAAATGCAATATTGGTGACTTCCAAACAAAGAAGATAGCTGAGAAGTATGTAGATCTATGCTCTGTATAACAATGCAGACAGAAAAAGATCGAGGCAATGTAAGACTTGTGAAAAATGAATAGGTCTTTTCTGTATATACATAATAGTAAAAATGGCATGTTATTATTGACAGTAAGAAGACTGACATTATTCTAGATCAAAATAATAAGGAAACTTATCTGAAACGTTTTAGTATTTTAGGAAGCATTTAAGACTGAAATATAGTAGCAAGAATAATTCAAACATTAATCAAAGTCTCACTGTTTATTTAAAGCATCTTATATGAGTCTCTCTGAAAGCTTCCCCCAAGTATTCTACTTTTCATTTTATTACCTCAAGGGGAATAAAAAAAGAAAGACAGCTTGTGAAAGCATTTCTTCTCTTCCCATCTGTAACTCCCACATTTTTAGTACTTCAAACCTTTGTCAGCACTTTGTATTTTTCCCACCATGCTGGTAACTGTTTCAGACAATCTCTTTTTCTGCAGCCACTCCTCCTTACCTGCCTCTCCACTTCTTCTGTGATCTGTTTTATTTTCCGCTTGTAGTCTTGAGTAAGGAGCTCTAGCTGTTTGTCAATAAAACCTAAACGTTCCTGTCGTTCCTCTCGCATTTCCATACAGTAAACTCTGGTGAAAAAAAAGTGGTCATCAAGAAGCCAGATAAATGCACATTGGATCTACAAATATCATTTGAATTCCAGAAACAAGAAAGATTCTCCTGCCCAAGAACAAAATGTGTCAGTATCTACAATACATTACATACACATGGCACAGACAAAAAAGAGGCTCTTCTCCCAATACTTTCACAATTCATTAGAAGCAAGAATACCAGTACATGTCCTTCCCACTCCCAAACATGCTGTATTCTGCTTTGCATTTTAAATGCTCATATTCCCTTAAATTTCTCCCAGAATACCAGCTTCAGTTATGCAAGCACTAAGCCTCAGCTCTCCTCACCGCTGTTCCTGGGCAGCAATATGCAGAGAATCCATGATGAGACGAACATCTTCCGCAATCTGCTTTGCTCTCACCGTATGCTGCTCAAATTTTGTTTTTACTGCTGACTGTGAGATACATTCCTGTATACAAAAGGCAGCCAAGATTAGCAGCAGGCAGAAGCACACTAACACAACTTCTCCTTCCTGTTTGATCTATTTCCAAAATGTGGTCCCACTCCATGTTTATGAACTCTAGTCCTCAGCCTTTCAGGAGTAAAATCTAAACAGAAGGTTAGCACACATAACACTCACCTCAAATCTTCTCTCGAAGTTCTGAAACTCAAACATTCTTACTTGAAATCCATCTGCCAGTGCTCCACCTGAGAGAAGAAAAGTACAAAACAACCACTTAAGTTTCGAGAAAGCAACCAGATGTTGGACATCAGGAAATGCTCCTGCTTTACCTTGAAGCCAATGCAAAAGTGCTGCTAAGTCACCTCTTTCTTTTTGACTGCTCTATTAATAATCTGACCCATCCCAATTTTATCCATTGTTTGGAACAAGATGTTCTCTATTTTCTTCCCTACAAGAAAATGGAAAGTTTCTGCTAGCTTTCCTCACCTCCTTCTGGCATCCCTTGAGCCCTTTGAATCCTGGCATTCAGCACTTCTTTCGCTGACACAAAGAAAATTCGATCCCCTGCCTGGGCTCGATCCACCACACCCAGCTCATCTACCAGGAAACTGGTACACCGCTCCATGTGCTGTCGACGCACCTGAGGGATAAACAGGATTAACCTCACATCCAGTTAAATCCACTTTACGCTCCATCTCTTAAAGGTTAGACCAGGCACCCAGATGCCCTCTGCTGGTCTAAGCTACCAATGCAAAACAGTAAGTAAAAAAAGCTTCGCTGTTTTATGGAATATTCCAGAGGTTATCTAAGTGATCGAACTTCAAAAGGCCCCTGTGAAACTCTCGATTTCCAGCTCAGAAATTCCTAGAGTCGTGTCCTGATCACGAGTCTATACTCCCTCTCGTCTCCACACTATGGTAATAAAAATCCAAACTGTAGAACAATCACATACAACACTTTATGATTCTACCCACAAGGACCAGAGTCAAAATGGACTCCATACTATCCATGCAAAAAGAAGGAATTTAAACACATCACAAACCTCTTCCATGTACTCTGGTTCAGAGGCAGATGCATCCCAGCGGTTATTTAAAATGAATATATTGGGTCGAGACAGACGTTCATTCACCTTGTGAAAGAACTGTTTCTCCTAAGCAAAAGGGAACAAAACGTCTTAAGATTAACATGTCAGAATTTTTTAACTTTTAGCCAAATTCACTGTACAAGTGGACTTGAACATACAGTTTGCATCAATGTTGATTCAGAATTTGCCACCAGGACAAATACATCAGCATCTAGACAGAATTTGTCAATCCAACTGTCCAGCTCTGTGGTTACATCAATGCCAGGGCTAGCAAAAAAAGAAAAGAGACATTACTATGCTGTGGAAACAGCAAAAATAGAATTAAAAAAGTTAATAAGAAATGTGTTTCAGCTTTTCAGGGCATTAATTTCCCATGTCTGAGCTACACTATCCTGAGGTGAGACAGAGTACAGACTAAAAGGAAGTACCAATCAAGAGAAACTCTGACTGCTAGCTACAGCAAAGGACTTTAGTCACTGTCATTAGAACACGGTCAATTTCCTTGATGTTTGTTAAATTGGTATTTGAAGACATTTCTGTAATTAATCTGTGATAAGCAGGAAAGGAAAGAAAGATATTTCTCACCTGTCCATCAGCACCAGGTCATCCTTTAAGAGAGGACATTTGGAATTGGGCCACATTACGCTGACTAGGCTGCCAGCATTCAGAAGTTCATCTTGATGAAGGGCATGAGCCAGCTGGTTTACTGTCTATTAAAAAGATGGATAATTTATAATATTTCCTGTATGCCCAGACCCATTAACACAATTATCTCCCCTTTAGGGCTGTTCACAGGCAATTTAAGATAAAACCCAACTCCAAATCACTTTCTCCCTGGGAGATTTTCCACATAAACCTTGCTTGAGTCTTCTAGTCAAAAGGCAACCGCCTAGTAAGAGTTTATGAGAAATTTTCCTGTCAAGAAAGGCTACTGAGGAACTACCAGGAAGCCTGTGCCTTCTGTCAGTCATACAGAGCTCAGAACTTCCTGAGTCATCGTTCTGGTTCCCTGCTATTACTAACAAATACAACATGGCATCTTTTTCATAAAATGAACAAGTTCCATCCTGTAACTTTCTCTATTCCTCCCTTCCTACATCTAACAAAAACCTGTTCTTTATCTCTATTCCTTTAATGATTAAAATCCTTAACTGTGAAATTTATTCATAGTGCTTTAATTTTCTTGCTCCTTCCCTTTTCTGGCACTTCTGAAGAGCTCTTCTCCTTTATCTTATGCTTAAGGAAATTGTACCTTAACACTCTTCTTTTCTTCTGAGCCTTCAGTAAGCAGGAAAGCTTCATGTCCATCTGTCCCTTCTACACGCAGGAAACAATTAGTGGTGTGACCAATTCCTGAAGGAAGGACTTTGTCCCATAGCATAGCATTTATCACAGTGCTTTTCCCATTGCTTGTCCTGAAGTCAGATTAAAGAATGGTATAGCTACGCTTCTGAGATTCACGTATGCTCATTTTAATATTACAGAAAGCAAGTTCTCTAAACCCAAGCAGTATCAGAAGCATTAACAATTTAGGTGCCATAGGCAACTTACAAAACGACTTTTCTATTTTCTTATTTTAAGAATTCTTCCAAGTCGAAGAATTATGTGCTACAATATTTGTTTCCCATTTACAAGAGGACTAGTTTCCCATTTACAAGGGCCATGCACATTACAAGCAAAAGCTGGAGCACTACTGTTTCTATAAATATTTTTTACTGGCTACAATCCTAAAGATACCAGTTGCTTTACTGAGTGGGGAACGTCGGCAACATAAGCACATGACTCACCTTCCAAAAAAAGCAACTTTCATGTGTCGTCTTGCCAACACCTCACTAATGCCACTGACTTTTGACAGGTAGCCTTTGACTTCCAGTACCTGCTCTTCTGTGGTGACAGGATCAAGCTCTATATTCTTGTGTGTTTCTAAAATCAAAACACATCGTGTCTCTGAATTCCAGAAGCCATCTGTCTCTATACTGGGTGAAACACCTCTTCATGACGTAACACACATAACTAAATGTTTATCTGTGTCCCAAAGACCATGTGGGTAATCTTGACACATGCAATTACACCCTGAGGCAATTTTGCATCAGCATTTATCATCTGGTCTCTTTTACGTATCTAATAACCATTCTCATCCTTAGGACTGCCTTAAACAGAACACAGCCAACACTTCAAACACCCCAACACCCTTAAAAAAAAAAAAAAAAAATCTTCTGTCTGTGTCTTAAGCTGTTCAAGCCAATTATTGGCATAGGCTACATGCCACTAGCAATGACATGTCTAGGCAAGAATGCTGAAAGAATTATAGGCAAAAAACCTGGAGGGTCTTGTATAGTTTATTAAAAAACTCCCAAACAACATAAAAACCAAGCATAGCTCACTAACTAGCTCAGTTTCCTAACATGTGTGAACTTGTCAGCTTTAAAAAATGAACCCTGAACTCCACCCAAATTCAACAAAATAATTTTCTGTTCTTCTTATCAATATTGATGTATAAAAAGACATGCATGTATAAATAAGCACAGGTCTAGCAGCGCCACTTAACTGAGTGAGGGTTTTTTGGTGTGTGTTTGGGGTATTTGTATGTGGGCGAAGCACTGTTACACACTTGTAGTTGAAGAATTCAGCTCACCTTCCAGGAACGAGGAGCTCTCATTGATGTATGCAGCCAACTGTTCAAAGATACCATTGATTTTCTTCTTTGCAGTGACAAAATGTTTAAGCGGAGAAGCATTTACCTCAGCCATATGTCTTTTATCCTTCTTCACTGCAACTATTGACTTGGAACGAGTAAACAACAGGGACATTGCGCTACAGGGAAAAATCCAGTAAATAAAGGTGGCTCACCAAGTGCTAATGGCTATCCAACTAAGCATCCTACCAAGAACTAGATAAATACACATTTTAAAAACAACCTTCTTTCTTTCACAAAGAAATTGTTCCGCTTTCCACAATTGGAAATCACTCATTTATCAGAAATAAAAAAATTAATCTTTCCTTCTCCCTTCCAACAAACCCTCAGTGATCACTTCTTCCCATCCTCCGCTTACTTTCAGTATGAGTTACGTTTTCACAAGTCAGGCATGGTCAGCAACAGTCCCTCTTGAACGTGAACGACTGCAGTTTTCCTGCCTTCTCCCTCGCCCTGGCCAGACTCCGTCCCGCAGCTCTTTCAGTGACGCCGAGTCCAGCCTGTCCCCGTCCCTGCGGCAGAGGGACGAGGGGATGAGGGACACAGACTGCCGAGCTCCCTGGTCGGCCAGGCTCTGCTCCCCCGCCATCCCAGTGCCCGGGGGATGCACTGGGCAGATGCTCCGGGCGGCCGCCGTCGCCTTCTCCTCAGACCTCAGGGGGCAAGCGGGCCGGGCGCGAGGCAAAGGCGGGAAGCGCCCCTCTCC